GAATTGGAAACACTTACCCACATCCACTATTCGGTACTGTCGGTCAAATCTCCATATGGTTCATGTCCGTGCTACATCCACTTTTCGATACTGTCGGTCATTTGGTTCATATCCGTGCTACATCCACTTTTCGATCTTTTCGATAGTGGTAGTACACTGATCGCTTGACAAAGAGGGATGATTGCGCCGTCTTTGTCTCTCTTTCATCGCGTATGTGTGTAGTATCCGTGAAGGCACAAACACCGATACGTTGAGCACACGGATGCGATCGTTAATATAGAAGATATTATTAAAAAAAAATAAATAAAATTAGAATAATATTAAAGAAAAATAAATAAAATAAATTAAATAAATTAAAAATAAATTAAAATAAATTAAAAAAAAATAAATAAAACAATTGACTAAGAGTTATGTATAATACAGTTGCATTAATAATAAAATCAATGTTTCAGAAAATTCCTCATCTATGACCCCTATTTACAATAGCTAAGGAAATAAGAATGTTAATAGCACAAGCGACATAAACCTGGTTGTTGCAATTCAAATATTTCTTGTTTATGAAAACGTTGCAATTCAAATATTTCTTGTTTATGAAAACGAAACTGTAATATTAAAATGAAACGAATATATACTAAAAAGAAGAAGAAAGAGGAGATATTATGTTGTAAAAACCGATTGTAATTTGAGTATATAAATAATTACTTGATTACAAGCTTGATTATAAGCGTGCTATTTTTGTTTATTAAATGTTCTTTACGTATCTGTATGATGTGTGAATTTATTTTTCTACATACTTTTTACAAGTAAATATTAAATTAATAATATGAATTATATATATATGAATTATAAGTTTTTCTGCATTAATAGAAAAACTGATTTTGCATAATATAATTACTCAGAATAATTAAAAATAACTAAACAAATTATAAATTACAATATAAAATTTTCATTCTTATTTTTATTGTATAAAATAGAATTTTTAAATCAATGAAGTGGGAAAACTGACAGATAAGAACCAAGGCGCGGTACATTTTTAATGCACATTAATTAATAGAATTTAACAATAATAAGTTCGCTCACCGATATTCGCGCCTTGGATCTTATCTGCCAGTTTTCTCACTTGATTGTTCTTACCCTGAGCCTATTGCTACTATTATTATGAAACTATTGTTATGAAATTTTTAAATATTAAAACTGTAAAGTGTAGACTATTAATATATTATGCCACACGCGCGTTTTTAATCAAAATATGGAAAGCTTAAATAATCGCAAAGGTATAGCCAAATGCTCGATGTTAATTTATATTCTGCTTTTTCATCTTTCTTCATACATTTGTAAATAATTTTCTTTATTATAAGCTCACACATGTACGTACAAATAACACACACATATATATATATATATATATATATATATATATATATATATATATATATTTGCGCGAATGTCAGCATGTATATGTTTGGATAATTAAATAAAGATTCATATAATTATAATAGATATTAATTACATTTTATTATAAATCAATGGTAGGAAATTAATTATAACAATCATTAATATCATAAATTAGTAGAACGGGTGTTATCAAAAATTTTTCATTAATATTTCTTTCTTTTTTTTCTAAATCATTATATTTGACCCAAGTTTGTCCTACTCTTAAACACTTATAGCTGTATTATTATATAATGACACTTATAGCTGTATAGTGTCCGATTGTTTGTATGCCCCTTGTCAAAATGGGCTTTTTGAATATAACAACGCCGAGTAATTTATATATTACACAATTCAATGGATTTTTAAACGATTTATTGATGTCGTTTAATTTAATTTGCAAGAAAACGTCTGTTAATGAGAAGATTTCAAAAATGACAATATCTCCTGAAAAATAAATAAGTTCAAAATAAAGGTAAGTGTTCTATAAAAAATATTAGCGGAAGAAATGCTATAAGTGTCAAAACGTGGATATCAGAATGTACAAAACTTTTTTATTATAAAAAAAGAAAACAAACTAAAAATTTTGGTCCAATTTCAAATTTTCCTCAGTTTAGCAATATTGCAACTGATGCAATATTTGGTGTTCCAACATCCGCGTTTTGATTTTTTCTTCTACTAATAATTTTTGTTTCAAAGCAATATATTATTTTATTGTAGTTTTATAACCAATTGTTTAATGTTTACTAATGTTTAACAATTCAAATTACTTGCCTGTTTTAGATAGCGTTGTTGTTTCAATCCCAGGACAATTTTTTGAACAACAAGGATGTTCACGTTCTAGATAAACACTCTGTTTTATAATTTCATCAAAATTATTAGCAATTGATGCTTCCTTGATTTTTAATTCATCTATCGGAATTACAGACAACTTCTTGTATCGTGGCGGACAACCAGAATTGCAACGAGACGTCTCTTCAAAACTTGGAACATTTTTTAATAGAATACTTGCTAGATAACCTACATTTGTCTCGCAATTCACATATTTGCAATCACCAACATCAGAAATCGGAAATATTTCCAAAAGTATCTGCGCGCGTAATTTATACGAAGGCAGATTAATTCCATTATTTATAGAGTTAATAATTAATTTAAAAAATAAATCTGTTTCTGCTATTTTGTTCATATATATTTGCATATTATTTAAATCATGTCCTGCAGCTAATAATATTTGAAATATACTGTCGAATGCGCAAGTATTAGTGATAGTATAATTGTCATCTTTTATATTTAAAGATTTTAAAGATAGATTATTACCGTTTTTTAAAATAGGTATTTTTACTGCTTTTTTACATGTCAACGAATCTATTAATTTATGTTGACTTTTACCGAGATATAATGCTTTAGTTTTATGTGGTTTTGCTGTTTCTAAACCACGCCAATTTTCCACTTCACGACTTGCCAAAATATTTTTTACATTTTTTATATTTTTGCACATCATGCATATACGACGTTGGCCGTAACCTTCTTCATCGTCGCCAAATGGTAAAGAACATTGAGGCAATGCATGAACATATTTTTCACATAAACAACAAATATGCGCATTTGTTGGTTGATCGTTATTCTGGCATGCAGGACATGAATTATTTGTATCTGATAAATGATTATTAATTGTAGACTCTTTTAAAGATGTATTAATTGTTGCTACATGGAATTCATCGTCCGTAGATGGATTCTGATTATGTGCATTAACAATTTTCATGACACCATGTAAATAATTAACATGTTTTTGAATAAATGAATCAATGCGCAATAGTGGACAATTTTTTAACAGTAAAGATTTTATTTTATTAAATTCACTTTCGACGGATGTACTAGAAGCAGGTATGCGACCATAACCAAATGTATCTGTGTAAATATTTGTCCAAAGAGGTAATAATCTAATATCAACCATAAGACGATCAACTAATTGTGGAAAATAAAGTGGATTAATTCTATTACCTTCGTTTGAAGTAATCGACGATGTAACATTATTTAAAATTTGCTTACCCCACATGGTCCACGAGTTTTCAAATAGATTATGAAAGCTATCTATATCAGTCATATTTTCTATTTCTAATATAACACTATTGTTATTACTATCAGTTTCAAAATTTTCTGTTTGTAACTCATTAATATTAGTCATTAAATTTATTAATTTAGTACGTGCTTTATCACATTGCGTAAGATTACCAGTTTATAAATTTCCATCGGTTTCTGATAATGCTGTTACAAAAAAGGATTGTATTATTTCTTTTGCATTTATAATATTTCTACATAGTATTAACTGGCCAATCGCACCAAGATAAAACATTTTTACTCTCTTATTTAATGATTTTAAAAAATTTGAATATTTTTTTATAAAATGTGCCACATCTATTCTTATATAACATTTAGGTAAACTAGAATTTTTACATGCATCCGCGTAATCTTCGATATTAGAGTAACCTGTAAACGCACGAATAATTGCAATTAATAGTGCTCTTGATGAATCGCATACCACTTTGGGAACCGGTGCACCAGAGCGTAACCATTCTGCCAACCAAAAATGAATTGAGTTTGCATTATGACTTTCACTTATCATTTGACAAACTGAAAATTGTCCACTTTTGCAATTGATGACACAATGATATTAAAAAATATGTTTTGATATTGATCCATCCACCTTACATAAGTGTTTAATAATACTGCCGGTTGCATCGGTAGATATACATGCATCGTTTTCAACGGCGTATTTTTTGTAAACATTTAATTGATGATTGCTCCAGTAATGCACAAAAACGGGATCTAATCCAATGTTATGGATTATATTCTGCAATGATGATGATTTTAAAATAACTAATGCTTTAAGAGCATCTGGATCTATATAATCTGCCATTGTTGCTTCCGATTTCGCTACATGTAAAACAGCAGAATTGTATAAATGAGGAGGTTCTGTATCTTCCTCGGCCATTAGCATGTGTGCTTTTTCTGCACGATACACATGAACTGATTTATTTTGTAATTCCTTCCCAATAGTTGTTCTTATTGGATTTTTCAAATATCGTTTTTTGCAATTTCCTTTTTCTTGTGTATATGTGCAATTCAATTTCACACTATTATCGGATAGATCAGCATCCTCTATGATACATTTTAATGTACTGCCACATTTGCAATAGCCTAAAAAAAAACATATTTTTTAATCAAAAAAGGTTATTATATTAATTGTATATAATTGTATATTATGTAATTGTATTAGAAGGTATATAAATTTATATGCATTTTGTGTAGACATGTAAATAACATGTATATTATCTGACAAAACTTACATATATTACATATGTTATCTGAGAAAATTTACTGCTCTCTTATTACTTATTTAAAAAAGGTTTATAATTATAGCCAAAGACATTTTGGATAAAAAATATTGATGTTGTCAAGCTGACAATAAAAAAACATTATCAAATAGATATATTTTTATCTATATATTTATTTATTATTAATGTATTTCTATATTTATTATCTATTTATTTATATATTAGAAACGCTGCTCTTGCGAGGATGGACATCAGACTCGATCTACTTTTACATTGTATATCCACTGAAGATGATTTGATCTCCAGTGTAGTTAATTACTTAGCGGAACGTATAATGGACAACACGGAGTACGAATTTTGCCATCTTATATATTTTATAGTACGCGATTTATCGTTCAACCGATTTAATGTACCCAAATAAAGCGATTGTACTTAATTTTCAGCTTAGACTCGGCGGATATGGCGCATCAGTTTTTGCTACACATGTATATGAAAATTCCGAAAGTTATTTGCTATCTCGACACTTTCCAAGCGAACAAATTCGTCAAAGGAGCGAAGATAACCGATTGGACGGGCTCAGTGCTCGATTGCATGAGCCATTGTTTATTGACTGCGTTGGCGGCGACCCCGAGGCAAAAATCCTGGAACGCCAAGTCCCAAGAATTTGAACTCTGCGCGAGAAAAATGGCCGCGGTACATCCTATACTAGTGCTACGACAATTGCCGATGTTGGCATCCTCCCTGATGGGAAGATGTTATCTTGATTTCGGTCAATTTAGATCCGGCCACCATTTAAATCTCTTCACTCAAGTAATGGGGCTACTGGAGCTGTTGCAACCACATTTGTTTAACGAGCAGCACAAAATTCCCTTGGAAAACACATTGGGAAATTACTTCCAATGCTTTCAGGTATTACAATTGGTGTAATCTTAAATTAGTAAAAGAGGAGAAATCGCATTTAATTGTAATCTACAAAAACTACAAAAAATCAAAAGAATAAACTGATTGTCTAGCATGATTTATTTAAATGCTATGTATGATTCAATTTTTATTAGTTACTATAAAATTTGCACAATGCATCTTGCTTTCTTGATTATTGACTCAAATCCTTCAAATATATTATTCTAATTTCAATACAATATCATTTTCAGAATTACGGCCATGTGAAAGACCTCAGCTCCTTGTTGAACAGATTCGTAATATTATTACAGTCATACATATCACATGATCCACAACGAGCATTGAAATATCTACACAAGCATGCACAAATTCTGCAGTATGTTGCTTTCTGTTAAAATGCACATATTATACGTGACTTACTATCTATTTATTTATATATTTATTTATATATTTATTATATATTTTTTATTGTCTATTTATTATCTATTTATTTATTTTTTCATTATTTTATATATCTATATATTCATATTTTGTTTTTTGATGCTATTTAATTACTTTCTAAAATTACAATCTAAATAGAAGTGAAAACAATTAAATTTATTTTTTTTACATTTCTTATTTATATATTTAGAAGTCAAAATTACCAGAGCCTATTAATTATAAATTTTATAGAATAAATTTAACGAAAATAAGTTCTATTAATAATCAACTTACCATTGATAGTACCAGATTTAGCATCTGCAGAAATGTAATGGTTTTTAAATTGGAATCCACATTTCATATGCGTAGCTTCCCAAAATTTGTTCGTTATCACTTCTTTCGTTCGTTACCACTTGCCAGGTTGTAAAACTTTACGCAAGCGATAATATGTCTTTCCTCTGTTATTAATTTGACGCTTGTATACTTTTTTTGTCAATAGATTTGTGAATTCTTCTCTCAGTAAAGAAATGATATAAAAATTCTTTATGGTGCTATCATCCGACGAAACATTTATTGAGCTTTCATTCCAATTCAAATCACTTAATGTACTTTCATTTGCGGAAACATTTTTTTCATTACAAACTTTATCAAAAATAATATCTTTTACATTATATCGATTGCACATTGTGAATAGATATAAATTATTAGTGGTCACTTCATTTTTTAAGTCTTGCGCTATAGCACTCCACACATCATACGTTTTAGAAACAATATTAGTATTGTTTTTTACAATATCTTTATATTTTAAGATTGCTTCTCTCATTTTTTCGGGATTAACTTTTCCCGGTCTGCCACATACTGGAGGCATGATAAAAATTATATATTTTAGCGTTTGCTTTGACGAGTTGTTGGAGACTAAAGAATGAACAATATCGATCTAATCCTATATAAGCTGCCCAACCCAGATAGCCAAGTCTGTTCGAACAGATTTTGCCAAACGTCTGCTACAAATTTTTGTCAGCAGAAAGATTCCAGATTGTATACAAAGTCTGTTATATCAAATAATAATAGCAGAATGTCAGCAGAAATGTTACAAAACCTGCTGACATAATTTGACAGCAGATCAGTAGCAGAAACCGAGCAGGATTTGCATAGAATTATTATAGCAGATAGCCAGCAAAAACCGAGCAGGATCTGCACAACGCAATTTGATGTCAAATTGATAGCAGAAATCAAGCAGGATCTGCGCGCCCGCAATCTGACGGCAGATTGGTAGCAGAAATCGAGCTCAGGATCTGCTAACATGACTTGACATCAGATTGTCGGCAGAAATCGAGCAAGATCTGCGTGCGCGCAATCTGATGGTAAATTGGCAGTAGAAATCAAACAGAATCTGTCAGAAAATGAATACAAACGTCAGAAAATGACATCTCGTGAAAGTGACATATCAACTATTGACGTCATTTTTTAATCTTATGAGATCTAACTTTAGGACGTCTATTTGATTATTTTGTGACCAAAATTTACTGTCATTTTGCTACTTGGAATCGAGACCTTTTAAATGTTTAAATCCATTTAAATGTACCATTTTATATAAATGTCTAGAAACTGCTCGATTTCTGCTGTCAATCTGCCGTCAGATTGCGCGCAGGCTCTGCGTGATTTCTGCTGCCAATTATATACGAATAAAAAATATATAAAATAATTTATAATTAAATTTCCTCCATTTACATACCTTCTCAATAGAAAATAACATTTAAATAGCAGTGTAGGTCAGGGATTATTAAAAAGCCGAGGCGCGTCGCGGTTATTTAAAAACAGCTGATTATGTACAGAATCTGCTCGGTTTCTGCTGTCAATCTGTTCTCAAATTATGTGCGCAGATTCTGCTCGGTTTCTGCTGCCAATCTGCTTACATTGCTTGTCAGCAGGGTCTGTCGACAAAACCTGAGCTTAATGTGGTCACAGATGGCTATGGTTTTGGCATGGAATTCTGATTAAATTTGCTGCCAATCTGCGCGCATGCTGCTAGCATTTTGCTATCTGGGAATATACTGATAGTCTTTTGTTTGCCACTGATAGAAATACACTTGAAATAAATGCCAAGCGGCAGGATCACGCTTCTCTTGTTTTGTGTTGAAAAGTATTAGTTGGGCAACGCGATCGCTTCTTTTGTTTTATGTCGATTATAAAATGAAAAATTTCGATTTAGTATAGTATGACTGCCGAGATTATTCAATAATTTTATATATTGTTTTTATAATGTATTGTATAATATTGATATAATATATCGCATCTATAATACATATAATTTATACTGTAATGTTTTTGAATTTATATGTTTTTGGATTTATTTATTGAATTTATAGTAATGTAAATATATATTTATTTCTCCAAACATGCAAACATTTTTATCTTTATTTAATTGCAAAATTAAAACAAGTAAATAATAAATCGTATATTTTTATATAAATTTTGTTTTTAAAGACAAAAATGCATTTTCTTTTCTTATAACAATTTTTTTCACATTTTGAAAGAAAAAAACTGAGTTAAAGGTAAATGTTTACCATTATACAACCCATCCCACCTCCTTAGAGATCAAGGTCAACGTCAAGATCAACCGGAAGTCATTTGAGATGGACTGTGTAAAGGTAAACATTTACCAAGTTAAAAAAAATTTCAAGTTGCCATTTTAATATCAAATCGATTTTTTTTAGTTGCATTTTTAAAAGCACCATTACAAAATTTTTTGTATATTTTTAATATTTTCTTTAAAAAAAAAAGTATAACACAACAAAAACCTGTTATATTCTTTACTGTGAAGCGCTATAAAACAATTTATTTTAATTTACTTTTTAAAAAAAAATAAATAAAAGTTTTTAAATATAATTTATAATTGAATCATAAAACATTAAATCTTAAAATATTATGAATCATTAAATATCGAATATAATCATTTTTTTTTTGGGTAGTACAAATTAATACGAATTCAGTAATAAAATAATAAAATCTACTTTTATTTTCCGTTTTTTCATGGTTTTTATACTGCTAGCTTCATATTAAGTTAGCAGGGCCACGCGCTATTTTTGTTTTAATTGACAAGAGGTACACAATTTTTTTTGTAGTACAAAATAGTAGAAAATGAGTACTAAATAATGCGATAAATTTAATTTGATTTTAGTGATTTAGTTCTTAAGAGATCGGTGGAGAAGTCTTGCTCTTGAGGTTGGTTGAAATAGGGATTATTTTAAGGGGTTACATACCTTTGTCGAGTAAAAAAAATCGATTTTTTTATCGGCTTATTAAATCGTATATAGTTTAAAAAATCAATGATTCAAAGCGCATTAAAATATTCACAAAATTGACAAAGATATGAACGAAAATGCGAGCAGCAATCGTTCAAACAGCCATTAAACCTGTGTACGGAGCCCTAAGTAAAGAAGAATTGCTGCAAAGATGTCTAGGAGGTTATATACAAAACAATAATGAAAGCTATAATCAGAAAATTTGGAAGATCGCTGCGAAATCGACTTTTGGCAGCCTTAGAATAATTGAAACTGCTGCTTATGTGGCTGCGAGTACTTTCAATGACGGAGCCGATGCCTATCTTCGAATATTAGATGTATTGGGCATACAAATTGGACGAAACGCTTACGATTATTGTCAGCAAGAGGACGCAAACCGGTTGATGCACGCTAGGATCAAGGCTTTTTTGTCAGTGTCTGCAAGATAACTCAGCGAATTTTTAATATTTTTGGATAAAATTTTAACAAAAATTTTCTTTATAAAATTCTCTAAAATCTATCGGGAGCTTTTTCTGATTTTTGATCTTGTTTTTTTTATAACAAAAAAGGTGGACAAATTTTGAGGCAAAATTGTAACTTTTTTTTTCAAGTTGTCTAATTTCGTGAATTTTTATAAATTAAAAAATCCCCCTCGATAGATCGTAACTATAACATTTCTTTATAAGAAAATATTTTTATTTTTCAGATCGAACTAACCTACAATGCAAAATCATGCAGACACTAGGATCATGAACGCTCATCATTGGTGCATGCAACTTGCCATAAAAGTTACAATTTTTTATGAAACTTAATAATTTTTTATATACATATACTCAAATATATAACAAATAAAATAAAAAAAAACTCTGTATTGATTACTGCATTATTTACCGAAAAAAAATTCCCGGAAATAGGCCATTCTTGCGCGCGACAAAGGTATGTAACCCCTTAAGGGGATAATGGAAATATTTTGATTTGTTTTGTGTGGTACAAATTAGTACAAATTCAGCGCTATCTGTATCTGCTTTGTTTTAATTTTTAAAAATTTTTTTTTTTTTATTTTGGTCCTGCTAGCTTAATATTAAGCTAGCAGCGCCACGATTTTTTTTTAAATGGCACGAGATACAAAATTATTTTTTGTGGTACAAATTAGTACAAATTCAGCGATAACTGTATCTGCTTTGTTTTATTTTTTTTTATTTTTTTTTTTATTTTGGTTCTGCTAGCTTAATATTAAGCTAGCAACGTCACGATTTTTTTTTAAATGGCACGAGGTACAAAATTATTTTTTGTGGTACAAATTAGTACAAAACGAGTACAAAATAATCCGATAGGTTGCATTCGATTCTGCTGATTTGGTCCTGCCAGCTTAAGAGAGCTGCCGGACGCTCGTCGGTGAGCCGACCGCCTGATAATGTGTGCCGCCGCGTCGTAGCGACGGAGCGCTCATGCGCACTACCAGGCGCGCGACTAAAGATCGGCGCTGATTTTTGACAGACTTTACTCAATAATAACTTCTTTATTAAGCGTTATAGAAAAAAATGTGGTAAATATAGCGAATAGGGGACCCTTATATTTTATTTTTGAACACCTTATATATGTAAAAACTTGTGTTTATTTCAGTTTATATGTGTAGTATACGTAATGTTAATATATCCAATTAATTTTATTTATTTGCATTAAATTTTTATAAGACACTTACGACAAAAGAGATAGAAATATTCATATTGAAAACTTTTGATCAAATTTATTATTTGACTAAAACAATTTTAAATAATGAATAACTTATTATTTTTTATAAATAAAAAATAGAGTTAGTAAACACACAAATTTCATAATTCTACAGTCCTAATGCGTATTAATAAAGTAAACAATATTATTTATTTTAAATAGTATATATTTCTTATATTTTAAAAATATTTATATGCAATTTTATATATATAAATACAATTATAAAAAATGTTATCCAGCATTGTACGTATTTATATAAAATGACATATACGATTTCAATTGGAAATGCTTCGAATTACAAAGTTATAAAGAAGATTAAAAATACAATGCAAATGACCCATTAGTGGTAATTATGCAGTCGCAAAAATTTAAATAATTAGAAGGAAAGATCTGCTTATATAAGTAACGGTTTATCGCTGTATTGTCTAATTACTTTTTCATCTCCAGTACAAAGTGTATCCAACTGATATCGCAAATATCAAGTCTATAGTGTTGATAGCATCATAAATAGAACAAAATATATAACATATACTTACTATTATTCTGGATTAACATATACGAAAATTATTGACATCATGATGAAAGAAACATACAGACCGTGCATTAATATTGATTCTGGCAAGGAAATAGTTATTTCAGGTATTGCTGGTAGATTTCCAGATTCAAACAACATGAATCAGTTACAAGAAAATTTACTCAACAAAGTTAATCTTCTTAGAGCAGATCATTGCCGATGGAAAATAGGTAATTATAATTTATAATTTTTCATTTACTTGTGATTGGTTAATGTAAAATATGTTTTCTCTCTCTTCAATAAAATGACAGTTATATGTTATGAAAATATTTTTAAGTAAAATGTCATATTAAATGTTTACTAAAAATTTTATTACATAAATGTTATAACTTTTATGAAATTATATAATTTGTTAGAGCATCCCGATTTAGCACGACGCATGGGAGTAATTAATAATGTGGAAAAGTTCGATGCTGATTTTTTCAATGTACCTTTCAAACAAGTACACACGCTCGAACCTATGACGAGAATGTTATTGGAACATACATACGAAGCAATAATCGATGCAGGAATTAATCCAAAACAATTGCGAGGAAAAAATACTGCCGTTATCATAGGGACATCTTTTCTTGAATCGCAAAACAAATTTATGTATGAGAATCTCCAGGTAAAGAAAATTATTGATCTATAAATATAGGGGAAGATAGTTGAAATAAAGAATTATCAAATTTGTTCACATATGTAAAAATTTATTATTGCTTATATCCTATAATTAGGTAGACGGTCTAGGCATCGTTGGATGTAGCAAATCTACGACAGCAAATATGATTTCAAATTTGCTGGATTTGAAAGGACCATCCTATACAGTCGATACGGCATGTAGCTCTAGTCTTTATGCCATGGCTCTTGGTTATCGCGATATCATGTCAGGTCGATGCGAAGATGCGATAATTGGAACCTCACAGCTATGCTTAAATCCCGTCGTAACTCTGCAGTTTTCTCGTCTAGGTATTTTTACTAAAATTTTTACTAGAATTAATTAATATCTTGTCAGATCGTATACATATATACACTGTCGAACGATTAAGTTTCGAGACTCACTTCGCATTTCCGAACGTTTGATCCGTTTGTGCTGCCATTTTAGGGGGTTATTCACAACTCAATACTCAATATGTGGTGCAAGTTTTAAATTATAGTTCAATAGTTAATGAGATACAGTCACGCAAAATTGTGTTACCAAATTTTGTTTAAAAATCGGTGTAATGAAAGGAACACTTGACAACGTGCCAACATTAAATTCTTCGTTAAATTAGAGAAATCTCCAACAGAAACGTTACAAATGATTCAACAAGCCTAGTCTTCTGAAGCAAGCCCTTTCACAATTTGATTCACGTTTTTTTTATGTCATCTGTATTTTCGAAACGTTACTCTTATGCATAGCTGACTTTCCGTAGGCTTGTTGAATCATTTGTAATGTTTCTTTTGGAGACTTCTCTAATTTAACGTAGAATTTAATGTTGGCGCGTTGTCAAGCATTCCTTCTATTACACCGATTTTTAGATAAAATTTTGTAATACAACTTTGCGTGACTGTATCTCATTAACTATTGAACCAAATAATTTAAAACTTGCATCACGTGTTGAGTTGTGAATAACCTCCTAAAATGGCAGCACAAACGGATCCAAATGTTCGGAAATACGAAGCCAGTCTCGAAACTTAATTGTTCGACAATGTGTATATATACAGGGTGTATAGACACCCTGTCCAGTAAAGATTGTGCCAACGTTCGTCAGCGGATAGAACACAGTAAACTGAACAGAAAAGTCCTGTAACATTTTTTTCTATAACACTTAATAAAGGAGTTAATATTGAGTAAAGTCTGCCAATCAGCGTCGATCTTTATATATATACATATATACAGGCTGATTCAAAACAACTTGATATCCTTGAAATATCACATTTTTGAGCGAATTCTGAGACAATTTTTTCTTTTACAGAATTTTATCCAAAGCTTAGTTTTTGAGTTATAATTGATGTTCAATTTATTGAGGTATTCGATATAAAGAAGAATGATTGTTGTCTAAAGATTTAATCTGTCAACCAAATTTTGTACATTCAACTGTAGTGTAATATTAACATAAGAATTCACCGTGGGATTAAATTTTAATAACCTTTCTTTATGTCACGAAGAGTGTTACTACCGTTCGTTCATATTAATCTATTATGTGAATTTAATCAGTACAAACAAAAGAAATATTATATAATATAACGCAATAATACAATAAACTCTCTTTCACTATTATCTTATTATTCTAGTACTTATCATTACGCTCTTTGGTTTTTATCGCTTGTTCGCTCGTGGCTTCTACGCTGTCCGCACGCTAGGGACGATCGCAAAGGAAAGAGACCGATTTTTTGGTACGCAGGAGCACCCGCCGATTGTTTTCCCGCGCCATCTCACCAAAGTGATTCAATTTATTTCCGCCGAAACCGCAAAATATGATTTGGAATGACTTGCACACAATTATTTCTTTCAACACACCCTCTTAATTTCGTGCGTTATTTCGTAAATTATTACATAATATTTTTCTTATAATTTTCAAACTTTTGTATATTCAACGGCTTTGTGAAAACATTTGCAATTTGCATGTCGGACAATATTTTAGTTTGACAATTTTCTTTTTAACAAAATCGTGTACAAATCGATATCTAATATCTATATGTTTCGATCTTTTATTGACTATTCCGTTTGTAATTAATGCCATGGCGCTTTGATTATCTATATTTAATTCTATCGTTATTGATTTATTTGACAGTTCTTCGAACAATGTTTTCAGGTATATAAGTTCTTTGCAGCATTCCGCGGCTGCCACATATTCCGCTTCAGTACTTGAGAGTGCTATGATTGATTTTTTCCTTGAACACCATGTTATTGCTCCACCATAAAATACGACAAATCCTGTTGTGCTTCGTCTCGTTTCTGTGTCGCCTGCGAAGTCTGCGTCACAATATGCTTCAAGCAGATCGTCTTGATTGTTGTCTCTATATTTGAGTTCTTGTTCCTTATTGCCATTTAGGTACTTCATTATGTGTTTGACATCGTTGATATTTTCTTGCGAATGATCCTCAATATATCTGCTACAGTAGTTTACTGCATATGAGATATCTGGCCTCGTTTTTGAAGATATGTACAGCAGACTTCCAATCATTTCTCTGTACGTGAAATTTTCATATTTGGGTGACATTTTATTTTCTTCTCCCTTTAGTAGTGGCACTTTTACTGGTTTGGCATTTTTCATGCCGTATTTTCCAGCATCTTCTCGATGTATTCGCCTTGTGTCAGTCTTATTCCTTCGTCTATTTTCGTTATTTCTAGTCCAACAAATGTCTTTGGATTTCTCACAACTGTCATCTTGAATTCGCTGCTCAGTTCTTTAATTATGTGCTCTAGTTCTTCCGGATTGCTTCCTACTAGTATCACATCATGTACGTAGATTCCTAGTATTAGATCACTGTCTTTTTTCTTGAAGAGGCATTGTTCACTCTTGAGTGGTTCAAATTTTTTCCTTTGTAGGAAGCTTGAAAATCTCTTATTCCAGCTAAGCGGCGCTTGTTTTAACCCGTATAGTGCCTTTTTCAATTTAAAGTATTTATTTCTGACTTTGTATCCGTCCAGTGGATATATATATATTTCTTCATCTAATGTTTCATATAAAAATGCCGTTTTTATATCGAACGCAACAATTGAATATCGTTTCGCTGCCGCAATAGCAAATAGACTTCGTAGAGCGCTCATACTTATTACTGGGCTATACGTTTCTTCATAGTTTATTCCATACTATTGTTTGCACCCTCTCACAACAAGTCTTGCCTTGTATGTGACATCCCTTTTTATTCTGAACACCCATTTGCTTTTCAGTGGTTTCAGTGACTTTGCCTGTTTAGTTTCCACTATTTCCCATGTGTTTTTATCTTCCAGTGAGCGTTTTTCTTCTTTTATTGCCTTGATCCAGTTATCTCTTTCAGGTCCTGTCACCGCTTCTGTATATGCCATCATGACATAATCACGATAACGATCCGGCTGTTTTCTTTGTCTCTCTGATTTTGTTGCTGTTCCTCTTAAGTCTTCATCATTTATTTGTTCGTCGATGTCTTCGTCTTCATTTTCCTCTGTTGTTTCTTGTTCTTCCGATGTGTTCACTTCTTCCTCAGCGTCTAGCCAATCTTCCTGTTCTGGATGTATTTCGTTTTCTTGTTCTTCTTCGTCTTCTCTGTCGAGTTTCAAATTTATATGCTTCTTTTCTGTGCCCTTTTAAACTTTCATTTCAGAAGTTTCAAATTTTACGTCTTTTGCTATTATTATTTTCCTTTCAATTGGATTCCACAATCTGTAACTATTTGGTGCGTATCCGACAAATGTGTGCTTTTCGCTTCTTTTATCTAGCTTTTTCAATGGAGTTAAAATCTTCGCATATGCTTTGGAATCGAATATTCTTAGCGATTTCAAATTCGGTTTTCGCTTTTTCCACATTTTGTATGGTGTGGTTTTTAGTGTTTCTGTTGGAGTTCTGTTCAGTAGATAGGCTGAAGTATAGATTGCTTCGTCCTACATCTCCTTATTTAATTCCGAGTCAAACAGCAGTGCTCTTGCTTTTTCCATCAGTGTTCTATTTAACTTTTCTGCCTTTCCATTTAATTGAGGCATATATGGTATCGTATTGTCCAATTGTATTCCTTTCTTTTTGCACCACGATATTACATTTTCATTTATGTATTCTTTTCCATTGTCGCATCGTAATTTTAATACTTTCATATTCCAATGTGCTTCCGCTCTCATCACGTATTCTTTAATTATCTGCGGTACTACAGATTTTGTTTCGACCAGAAAGACTATGACATAATGCGTGTAATCATCTAGAAAGGTTACGAGATATCTTTTCCCGTCCCAAGTATCTGGATCTATAGGTCCACAGAGATCTGTATGTATTATTTGTAGAGGTCTGCTTGCTCTTGCTCTGTCGTTTTCCATTTTTGTTCTTGTCTGTTTTGCTTCTTGACATACTTGGCAGACCATGCAGGATTTCTTCAGTTCATCAGCGGATATGTTCATTCCATCACTCACCTTTGTTAATTTTTTCAAATTTCCTGGATCAATATGTTCCATTTTTCTATGCCAGGTCATTGCTTCAACTTTACTGTTTTCTGTTAGATATGACCTATATCTGCTTTGTGGTTTCAATTTAATCTGAAACAAACCGTTTTTGAGTTTTTTGCCTTTTAAGATGGTCTTACCCTCATGTTTTACAACCACTTCATTTTTCGTAAACAGTACTTCACCGCCGTTTTCTGTTATTGAATTTACGGATAGCAGATTCGCACTTAGGTCAGGTACGTATACTACCTCTTTCAGCTTGCATTCGTCGAATTCAATACTTTCAACTCCTTTGGCCACCATTGATTCGTTCAGTTTGGCTACTCCGATCGCTGCATCAATCTTTTCCATGGTTTTGAAGTAGTTTTTGTTGTTTGTCATGTTTGATGTGCTGCCAGACTCGACTATCCAGGTATCTATTTTTCGCAGCTTGCCTGTCAGAAACGCTATCTTTTCCGAGTCTTCTCTCTTGCTGTCTTTTTTATTTTTAAAATAACAGACTTTTTCTTTATGATTATTTCTTTTACAAATACTACATCCGTCTACGGAGCTATTTCGTCTTTCTGTACAGTATTTGGCGATATGATCTTGTTTGTTACATTTGAAGCATTTTGTTTTGTTCTTTTCTTTCTGTTTGATTCTACATGTTTTCGCGAAATGATCGGTTTTATTACAATTATAGCATTTTTGCGTAATTTTAAAAGCTACTGTATTCTACATCTTTGGAGCTATTTCTAGCTTCTTCCGCAATTAATCTGGCAGTCAAATTTTCCATTGGTTTTTGAGCTATTTCGGACGAGTCCCACGCGCTTACAAAATGCTTTAAATTATCAGGCAGAGTAGACAGTATTTTTGA